AGGCAAGATGGAGACTCGCCCACAGCACTAATGCCAACTCTTACAGTATCTCCATTAGCATCTAGTAAGGTAAGTCCACTCACTGACAAAGATCAGTCAAATTTCATAAGAATTGTACCTGCATCATCCTCTCACTCGGCATTTGGCATGAATGAAATAAATGTAAATGGGAATAGAAGTTTTGAAGCAGGAAACATGAAATGTAAGCATCTTCAAACTTAGGCACAAAAGAGGTGCAGTGATGTAAATGGCAAACTGCAAGAGGTTGCTGACTTAAAGTGTGCATTATATGCAGGTAATCATGTGGCTTCATTAAGACTAAAAATTTTCAGCATTGGGAATATATTCATGGATTTTGATAATGAGTTCTCTTACCTGGGTGACATGATCAGTTGCAAGAGTCAGAAATAGCTGGAAGAAGAATAGGGAGCTCTTGCCTTTATTGATGTTGAAAGAACCTTCTCTTTACATGCAATGAAAGATATTATGTTGTATGGAGCTTTCAACTGTTGTCTTGGAACAAACAGTCTAGGTGTTAATTTACACATATTATAGATGTCTTTCTGTCTTTGCCCCATTTCCATTTTATAAAATGATTTCATTTGGATAATTGGTTTATGTCAGATCCTGTGGGGAACTTAGATACAGTATTGATCATAATTGACTCTGTATATGTAAGGGTGGAAAAATTCTTGTATGTGAAAGTTTTTCTCTATATTTTTGTGTTGTTCACAAAAATAATGAATATTCATTGACATGTTTCTAATTGCGAATACTTTGGGGCTTCTTAAATTTTCCATATTTCAGGTGTGTGGTGAACACAATATTGGGCGATACTTGTCAAGACTGTTAGAGGTTGCCTTACCATCCATAAACCTTTATGAGTCCTTATCCAGTCCTGTCTTCACAACTCAAGTAGATGAACTTCTGGATCAGTGTTATTCAAAATTTACCTTAGGCAATAATAAGTAAGTAATGTAACTTTATATTTTTATTTCATCAGTATAGCTTTGGAATGTGTACAGTACAGTACTTGATTGATGATATGAAGATAAAGGATGGCAGTAGGCTTGAGATAAATCAGAGTTGTTTTCTTTTTATGTTGTTTTTATTGCTGAAAAAGATGGGTTAGGCAGAAATACACAAGAAGAGGATGTTGACTGGGAGGAGCAAAATTAGTTTAAGAATCAACAGAAAGAAGACCTATAATTGCGAAAACCATTTTAAGGAGGTGTTAGAGACAGCCTTGCCACCAAAATAAATTGACACAACCATCCTTTCCAAACTTCTGATAAAGAAATATATGAAAAATGTGGTTAAGTTTAGTAGGGAAGGGATATCACTTTAACTGTGGCCCTCTCGGACAATGGCTACTACACTGAATTATACAGAAATGATTTTTTTTTAGTATTTATACCATAAATGATAGCCATGTAATATGATACTGGCATCTCTCGTTTAATGATGGGGTTGCCTTTCTGAAAAACTAACGTTAAGCAAAATTATCGCTAAACGAGGATAACAGCAAAGCACGTAGGGCGAACAACAGGTTCAAACGGCAGGGTGATTAACACTGAGTACAGTCCTGTACCCCCTAATAATAATAATAATAAACGATCACCTTTGAACTGGTTTTGATGTTAAACAATTGATTTATTTGCACCAAACTTCTATATAAACCATGTGGTTCAGAGTTAAATAGTTTAGTGAGGAAAGGGTGAGCCTCAGTAGAACAATTTTCAAATTGCTTATGTCAAAAATGAAAAACAATAAGTTATACAGCATATCATAAAATACAATAGCACATATTTTATGTACAGTCTCGTTCAAGATTCTTCGAACACTGCTGGAGATAGCTGGCAACTCGAGGCCGTTTGTTTACTAAATCGAGCTCTCGGTCAACTAAGTATACACTGGAGCACCTTAGCTTTTGTCTTTATTCAAGACAGAGGCAACTGAATTTACAGGGATGGAATGTCAGGTCATCCTTTCTTGGGTGAGGGATTACTGGGTCTCATGACCTGAAGATGTCTTGAATAAAGACAAAAGCTGAATATTTTTAGGGAGATTTTGATAAGTATAAGTAAAAATGAGCAAAGTTGTATCCCTTCAACATTACATTACATAACATTTTAAACTATGGAGTGAGAAAGCAGAAAGGTTTGGGTGGTGAGAGAGATGGAATGGAAAGGAGTGGTAACATGCGCCGTGTTCTCGAGCGCTCTTCAACAGCTGATGTTTATTTCGCCTCCAGGCAGTTGCACAATAAGACCCTCACAGGATATATAAATATATATATATATATACATATACACACACACACACGTGCCTGAAAAAATGCCAAATCGACCCCCTCACCTGGGAGAAGATTACTTCACACCATAACGCTTGGAGGATCACCATACAGGAAGGTGTCAATACTTTCGAGTTAGCCCGACTACGTAACGAGGCAGTCAAGCGCCAACGCTTGAAAGATGCTGCTGCCACCCCTCCCGCACTAGGTGTAGACCCCCCCCACATGTGCAACATCTGTGATTGACTCTGCCGGTCCCGTATCGGCCTCTTTAGTCGCCTCAGAACTCACCAACCTAGGCGACAATCTTAATAACTTGTATCTTTGTATCATAGCTGGATTCTCGTCATAATCGTTTCTGAGTGACAGCAAAGTAGTACAGGTTGTACTTCTCTAGTCCGGCAACCTCGGGACCTGACCGGTGCCGGACCATGGAAATTCACCCTTTTCCTGGATAGATAGTGACTTGTGCTTATGCCTGGAAGCACTAGCACCACTTTCTCTGCGTCATGGTCTCTTTGAAGACATATTGAAGGGTTAAATGTCGTATAGTAGCTTCTCAAATTTCGCGAGTTTTTAATTCTTAACGTATTTTATTGGAACACACAAAAAAAAAAATAAATCAAAATTTTGACGGCGGAAACTTGAATTTCGACGGGTTTGAACGGCCCGCCAATGTGCAGACGACGTGCATAATCGTGTAAACAGCGTCATTTCTCTTATGTACAAAAGATTCATTATTGTTTATTACTGAATGTCTTTTTTATTGAATTAATGTTTATGTGTGCAAAATGAGCAATACCATTCATTAATAACACGTAGAATATTAAAACACACGAGGAAATGACACAGCATTGTTTTCGTTGATTACAAAACCAGTGACTGACTGGTTCTACATATAAAACTGAAGAAAATAAGACCTTGGTTGTAGCTGTAGTAAAATTAATATGGTTGTTTTAAGTAATGTTATTTAATGTTAATAAATGGAACAATAGAAGTAGCTAACGATAATGGTAAAGAAAAAGAGAGATCGCATATGTAAGTGCGCATGCGCACACGTGAAAACATATCATTATTACTTTACATAAGAATATGAAAGCAACACTTATTTACTGTTCATATATATTTTAATTAATGTTTCTGAATTTGTTTTTATTGAATCATTGTACGTGTGTGCAAAATTAACAATACAATTTATTAATAATACGTGGAATATTAGAGGAGACGAGACGGCTGCCGGCATTGTTTATGTTAAAGCTTACGAAACCAGTGACTGATTGGTAGGGTTGCCATATCTGAACATTCAAAAAAGAGGACGCTCCCGAAGACATCCCCCCCCCCCTCCTGCCCGGCACACACAGGCTAATATACAACACACATGGTATAGAAATCTTAAAAAAAAATTAACTTTGCTTAAGGCTGAACATCTTCATTCCCTTAGCTGCAGTCTTCCCCCACTGTGTGTGTGACTTGATGTGCCCATGCATACTTTTCTGTAGATCGGATCTTTTTCAGTATTGGCTGATTGCTCTTTAGAAAGGTATAGAAGTCACTGCAAGGTGTTTCTCGGAAGTTGTACTGTACGGTCAGAATGTCTTTCATTGTTTCAACACTAATTTGTTCCTTTCCTTTGTCCATTGACTTTGCATCAGTGAAAAAACTCTTTCTACATTTGCATTGTGACATGATATAGCAAAGAAGAACTGTGCAATTCTTAGCAATTCTGAGTGGCATTCAATGTTCTTTGATTTTTCAAAGTATCTGGTCAGCTTTTTATGTGTTGGCAGATTACTAAATTCTTCATCACTTGTAATTTTCCACAAACTGCATCAGGTTACTAACTTGGTCAAAACACTTCACATCATCAACTTCTACCCCCTTATCAATCAAATATTTGACAGCTAAGTTGACAACACCTACAGGCGTACAAGTGACTTATCAGCTGACGAAAACTGAACGAGATCTCTACGGTTTCCACCTCCCCTCTCTCTCTCTCTCTCTCCCGTCATTACAGTTTCATGTTTTTTTTTTCCGTGGAGAAAATGATGGAAGCTGAAATTCCGGACTTTTGAAGAATTTTAAAAATTCCTTCCGGATGAAGATTTCGAGACCTAAATGGAGGACATGTCCGGGAAAATACGGACGTATGGCAACCCTACTGATTGGTTCTACATATATAACTGAAGAAAATAAGACCCTGAGTTTAGCTGCAGTAAAATTAATGTAAAAAATGAATATGGTTGCTTGAAGTACCTGTAATGTTATTTAATGTTAATAAATGGAACAATATAAGTAGCTAACCATTAATGGTAAAAAAAAAAGTGAGACTGCTCGTATGTAAGTGCGCACATGTGAAAATATATCGTCATTACTCTACATAAGAATATGAAAGCAACACTTATTTACTGCTCATATATATTGAAGGGTTAAATGTTGTACTCTGTATAGACAAGCAGAGAGAGAGAGAGCAGCCGAACTGCCGGATGTAAACAAACCTTAATTTCCCGCGGCTTTTTTTTTTTTAAGGGGATTAGCCCACCCGGGCATAGGTCACTGACCCACATTGGGGCCTGAGGGGCAAAAATTTAATACTCCTGTAATAATAATAATAATTCAGATAAGTAAAAAAAAAAAAAAAAAAACTGCCTATATACCTATTGGACAAACTAAAATCGTTCCGGACCACGGGAGTTTCCGGACCACAGAATGCCGGACTAGAGAGGTACAACCTGTAGTAATAATAGTAGTGTGTGTGTCAGGAACACACCTCAACATCACATTCACACACTCCCAACACCACCAACATTAACCCTCCAACATTTATTATGATATATTCTCATATGATCAGCCTCTTATGGTGTATGTTTTATCACTGATAATATAAAATAATAAATACTACTATAGAAAAAATACAATATATAATTAGTAATTTGCATAAAAATTAAGTGACAAGCTGTATAATAAGGTAAAAATAAGTTGTTATTGTATATGAAGAGTACTGGTATTATTAAGCTCAAATTATTACAGTAATATATATATACTAATTAATAAACAACAAATAAACAATATTTTATCGAGTTACAGTAAGAATGTACAGAACTAAATGACAAATTTATTTGAAATACTCTATAACATTCAATGCCATAATATCCTGACCACTGGGGTTAGTTATCCATTTAAAAAGCCATAATTGTGAGCAACACATTACTGTACTCTGTACTCAAATGTACTAAGCTCAAGGACTAAACTTTTTATCTTTTGTGCAAACTATGAGATGTTTATACTCAAATTAATCGCTATCTTGCAAGGATTCAAGCAATGGAAGTTATATTCTGCTAATTCAAGTGTGTGACATTTTATAAGAGAAAAATTTTAAGCCTAAAACCAACTTCATTGTATAAACTCCTTATCATCCACTGCTATCTCGCCTCCCCTGCTGGCTGGGAGGAGGGGGAGATGGGGCGTTGACATCCAGGAGGCTCTGGAAATTACCGGGTGCGTAGTTATCAGTGGAGGGGGGAGGGGTCAGGGTCTCAGGAGTTTTAAGCTCTTCGCTTATAAAATGTCACTGACTTGACTTAGCAGAATATAACTTCCATTGCTTGAATCCTTGCAAGATAGTGATTAATTTGAGTATAAACATCTCATAGTTTGCACAAAAGAATTTTTTTTTTAGTAATTAAGTACATTTGAGTACAGTTTGTGATAATTTATGCCTTATGGTTGCAGTTGTAAAGCTTCGTGACATCACTAGTGTGTAATGCATTTCTATATGTCTAGGTGTAAGAGTAGCCAAATTGAGCCATCGTGTATCAGTTAAATTTAAAATTTAAATTATAAAGTCAAATGTTATAAGACAATAGTTTAGTAGTGCTGTTAATGTGTGTGCTGTGTAGAGGTTTGGGGTGATTATCTCACCGTAGGCTGAAGTTGGTTTTACTGTATCATGTGTCTGAGGTGTCTCCGTAGGTGTGAGCATATTAATGAAATCAATCTCAATTTAGCAAACTAGCTCACAAAATTGAGCAGAAAATAATGATAAAAATGCCTTCCACTAAATCGAAAGTTCATTATATCGGATTCTGTTAAATTAAGAGTATGCAGTGAGTTCTGCTATAACGCGTGTTTTGACAACGCGAATTAGCTCTAACGCGATTTATGAATAGAGGAACGATATTTGTATAACGCGAACGCTTGTTTGCTGTAACGCGATTTTTGCTTACTATTTCTCCAATTTTGTGGTATTAACTGTGAATATGGTAAAGAAGAATATCTCCATGAAGCGTTCTGTTGATCGCATTCCCGGTGATGATCGTAAAAGAAAGGCTATAACACTTGAAGAGAAGCTCGATGTTATCAACCTCAAAATTACCCTTCTCCCCCATCAAGTTATATTCATATTTCTTCACTGTAAAGTGTTACATTTACTGTATGATTTCATTATTAGATATGAATGTCACATTTATTTAGACTGTGCTAACCTTTGTGTTAGGCTAACTACTAAAATTTTTTCGATTTCGAGTAGTAATCTGCACCTAACCCTATTTTCCCCATAAGCCCTGTTATTTCTATTACGCGAATTTCTATAACACGATGTTTTACAAGAACACAACTATCGTGTTATAGCAGAACTGACTGTACTGTATTCACATATAAACACATTAGTTTTCATTTTCCCAAAAAATTTTGATTTACTTAAAAAATACTTGGGGTCAAAACATAGATTTTGTTTAAATTTCATCCAAAGGTACTACTTTACATGGTGATTAAGGATCTGGGTTCACAATTAAAAAATTTGAGTAATTAATGTTAATTGATGATCTTCGAAATAAGTTAAGATATTTGAAAAAGCCAATTATTGTACTGTACATTGTTCCCGCAAGTTTTAAATTACATTTACAGTGATAATTACTTTGTAATATTGCTTGTTAAACATTTAATTTAAAGTAGATTTTTCATTTTTACTCTTTATTGCAGGGAACGAGCTGGTTATGTACGGGATCTCAATGCCAGATTGGGTAAAGAATCCTATCTTGTTGGGTCGAACTTGACATTGGTTGACCTTATTGTTCTCTCCAATCTCCTTCAATTCCGCATGTTGGAATCTGCTCCTCCAAATGTTCAGAAATGGAGCAAAGGCTGTTTAGCTCACCAACTATGTAAAAACTTTATTTAATATTTTAGGAATATATGCAAATATTATTATTTTATTTATCTTTTTTTTATTAATAGTAATTATAATGGTATAGCAATGGGAGCATCATTGGACCAAGCTAATCCTTTGTTTTTAATCACTGATTAAGAAGAATCAATTATTTAATTCTGCATCAGTTACAGGTCGACTACTTATTTTCTGGCACTATCGGGGCTGAATCAATGCCGGACCAGCGATTTTGGAACCGTGGGTGTTCATGAGGCCCTTGGGGAGTTACCACTCTTGTAACCTCTGACCCAATAATTATACACCCCACACTAACTTGAAAGCACTCTGGGCTGCTAGAAAAGTCAATATGACATCGCATGAGCAATAGTAAGACTTCCTTAAATCGGACTGACTTTTTGGGGCTCGAGGCATATCTAGAACGTTTTTCACTGCATACTTTATGAAAGCTTATACCATATCGCTTCTTAAAATGCTGAAGCCAGCCCTCTGTATACTGTATTCACTTTCATAGTCTACCGTAATCCAAGTTCATCATGAAATAACATAACCTGAGCCTTCACCATATCACATGAAAGTTCAACATCTTCATTACAACGTAGTCGGAACCACTGAATCATTACCGTATCATATTCTGTATTTTTACCATCTTTCGTTGTTTTTCTAATGGACATCTTCTTAAAATCACTGTCAGCAAAGACCTTAAAAGGTTTTCCTTCTGCTTCTTTATGTGAAGTATAAAGCTGCCACATGTAAACAAGTTTTGAGGGAGGGTGGTAGACTAGTAGCGCCACCAAAACATCTACGGCGGCTCAGTAAACAATTCTCACAGTGCACAGGACTAGTGATTGCCGGAATATCAGTGGTTGACCTGTATATGGTCAATTATACCAATTGGCAAATGCGAGTTTTTATGTGATGCTCTTGATTATCATTTGTGATGCAAAGTATGTTTATATTTATTTATAAAAAAATTATATATATATATATATATATATATATATATATATATATATATATATATATATATATATATATATATATATATATATATATATATATATATATATATATATATATATATATATATATATATATATATATATATATATTAAACTAATGTTATAAAACAGTGAAGAATGGCTGTGACATGATTCAGCAGTAAAAGTAAATCTGTAAAAAAAATAAAATACTGTACTGTACTGTAACTGGTTGTGCAGGGCAATTTTTACTCACATAGATTGACATTCAGAACTTCCATTAATGGTTTCTGACCTTATGTACTGTACACAAGTACACATACTATACTAGACACTTAATCACAAACAGTTGGCAAAAACAACGAAAGCATACTTGAATTTGTTTGGTATATCTTGGTGTTACACTTAAGAATACAAAGTAGCTTGAACACTGTTTTTCTTGGCTAATCTCAGTTCATAAAGTTCGTACATTATGATGAATAGGGCTGTTTTTGTGACCGTGAAGTGAACAGTGTAAATTTGAAAATGTCTGGGAATGCCAAGGCACCCAGGAAAACCATGTCCTTGGAGGTGAAGCTTGACTCCCTAAAGGCTGTGTGGGAGTCAGGGTGACATCTCCACTCCACCTTTAGCCTTGAAGGGGACATGTGATATATCGTTGATATATGTGGGTTGTCAGACTGGCTGGAACATATCCCATTGAGCCCCATGTTATAATGATCCTGATTTATGATATCTCAACTTGTGATGGGAGTTTTCAGGAACGTATCCCCATCATAAATCAAGGGATACCTGTAAATAAATTTAAAATGTCATTCAACATTAATCTGTTGTCATTAAGTTAAATGTTGTAATTAAATGGGCACTTCTTAGAACATATGAAAACAATGGTGCCAAAAGTTTGTTTAAGAATGTAATACTAAACCATGTCATTTTCCTTTAAGGTTGAATATATCAATGTACAGTTATAAGCAATAGTAATGTAACACGCACTTCTGTATATTCATTCTGACAATGTAATCTAAAATACACAGGGAGGTGTTTACATTGCTCTAGTTATACCACAGATTATGTACGGTAGTGTAAATAAGGAGCCCAAAATGAGGTCAATCGGGAAATTGGATCAGCCAAATGACATTGAGATGAAACTTGCCCAAAATATTAAGAAATCCCACGTTGTTTCATCTGTATGCCAGGAGTAAATTGAAAACTAAGGCTACTGTCGCCCCTCTAAAGGATGAAAATAGTGTGGCCCTGGAGGATGACAGACAAACAGCTGATACCTTAAATGAATATTTTGCATCATTATTCAATAAAAGGCAGGGATAACATGCCAGTACTTAAAGAGAATGTATACCTCAAGGGTGGAAAATGAATTAAGAGAGATAGCAATTACAGAAGATATCATCAAAAGAAAAGTACCCAGCTTTAAAGAATTCAAAGCCCCTGGAATGGACAGCCACAGACCAAGGTGATAAAGGAGATAGCAAACAAGATTTGCACACCACTAATACACTTTATTTAGGAAATCCTTGGACTGAGGTAAATCACCTAGGGACTGGAGATCAGCCAATATCACCTTAGTGTACTGTACAAGAAAAGTAGAAAAAGTGCAGCAGAAAACTACAGGTCGATCAGCTTAGTATCCCATATATGCAAACTCATTGAGAAAATTGAGAGACGTCATCATCCAACACCTAGCCAAGCACAATCATATCGTAGTATCACAACACTTTCATGAAAAGAAAATCCTTCCTGACAAACTTACTCACATTTCTTGAAATAGTAACAGACTACATGGACCAAAGCTTACCAGCAGATGCATTGTACATGGATTTCTCCAAGGAGTTTGACAAAGTCCCACATGCACAACTAGTCTCTTAAGATCGTGGCACATGGCAAGATCTGGAAGTGGTTTAACAATTGGCTCAAAAACAGGTAACAAAGAGTGGGAATAAATGAAGTACACTTTGAATGGAAAACGGTTCATTGGATGTGTCTTATTTGTGTTATACATAAACGACTTATATGAAAACATATCGAGCCACATTATCAAGTTTGCAAACAACACAAAGATATTTGGGAAGGTAGCAAGTCGGACTATCTCGCAACAATGCAGAAAGACCTGCATGAGCTGTTCAAATGGTCTCGAGATTGGCAAATGCTTTCAACATTACAAATTCCAAGACCCTATACCTAGGATACAACCCTAAGCACAAATAATCTGTTTTAATAACACTTTCCTGGATACTGTTGTAGGTAGTAGGCAGCTACCAAACAGGAAGGTACTACCGCCTGGGAAGATATTGGAAGCATAATGTGTTGTCTAATGGTAGACCCTGCTGCCATATGGCATCACAAAAATTGTGACCAAGTTCCAGGTTGCTGATCTGTCTTTCTCACTTGCACACAATTGAAGGGCCTCAATTGTTTCTCTTAAATGACAACACAACATAGCATTTCTCACTATTGATTTTTCTTCATTCTTGTATTTCTTTGTATTGATTATTATTATCAGTGTTGTTATTATTATCATTAATATTTTATTTTACTTTATATTATAAATTTTATTTACTATGAATTATTATTATTATTACATTTTCGCCCTCCGGGCCCCGATGTGGGTCAGTGACCTGTGCCCGGGTGGGCTAATCCCCGTAAAAAAAGAAGGGCAAAAAAGGTCTTGGTATTGTAATAGATCATTCACTGAAGGCAGAGCAACAAGTGAAAACAGCAGTGAGAGAAGCAAACCGAGATTTGGGAATTATAATGTGTACCTTCGAATATAAAGATAGGAAAATGTTCCTTCAACTGTACAAATATCACGTAGGGACCAGTCTGGATTACTGTATACAGGCATGAAGCCCGACCTCCAGAAAGACCTAACATATTTAGAAATGGTGCGACACAGTGACTATGATGATTCTGGAATTATGTCATCTTGATTATCCAAGTAAACTGAGGCCTTAGGACTAACAACCCTTCAGACAAGGCACAGTAGGGCAGATCTCATTGAAACTTTCAAAATCCTGAGAGTGGTGGAAAATGTAAACCCAGGCCATCTCTTTGTGATGTTACACACCACCAACATGAGGGGACATAACTACACGCCTGTTGCAAAGCAGAATGAACAAAAAGAAATACTTCACACAGGTTTATAGACCTATGGAACAGTACAAGCCCAAGCTGTGGAATCAAGAACAGTACTGGACTTCAAAATAGACGAAGTTATTAAGAACAATGGAAGGATACTACACAGCCCACTGGCCCCCTCCCGCCCAGCTTGGCCACCTCTAGTGGGTGGAAGTACAATATGCAGGTAGAGAATGTTGCATGACTGTTGCACATGATTGTACAGTACATACAGTGTAATTCACAATAATATATATATTTCATATTTAATATGTACTTTTGTAAATGGGATACAATAGTTGTATTGCACATTTTGTTAAGAATTCATCATTTTTCTGTATTATGACTTGAAGGGTTGCCGAGTTATTTGGTGGCTCATTTCCTGGTAACTTAGAGAATACTTATATTTAACCATCTAATCAACTTCATCATAGTTTGCTTCAAGTGTAAGAATAAAAGGCATTAAATATTTTGATCATATACTTGTGATGGAATTCAAAAGTTGAAAAACCTTGTGTTATATAGTGTCTGAATGTATCTGGCTACACTAATACAGTTCTGTTCACTCAGACTTTGCAACTGAGGCCTTGGTCTGCTGATTAGTTGGCGGACAGACACACGAAGAACAGGGCCGGATTAACCAGAAGGCTAATAAGGCCCTTAGGCCCTCGAGTGTAGGCTTTAATTTTTGTTTTTTAAACTTAAATCTTTGTCACAAATTTGCAAGTTGGATCAATGAATATTACAAATTGTTTGAAGATTTAATGAATTATTTATGATGCGAGTTACTAACGAGTTCCATTCCTGGGGATGTTCTTAAGTCAAAGCACATACCCTATGTGCATACCCAGGGTGTCTACTAGTCTGAAAAATCTGGAAAAGGCAGGGAATTTTATTTGGGGCTGGAAACCCTGGAAAAATCAGGGAATTTTAC